AATTAAAAGATCAACAGAATGGTCAATTAACTGCTCAAATTGAAGTCAAAGAGACTAAAAGATGATCTTGATTGAAAGTAAAGAAGTAATTGAGGAAATTTCCCTCTGTATAAATTGAAATTCATTCCACCTATTAAAGAAAATGGTAGTTATTTTCCATTTAAAGATTTTTGCTTTTTATTAGTTAATAATGCATCTTCATGCTTCTTTCTTTTCTTAACATTTATTATTTTTCTTTCTTCTTGGTAAATTTCATAAGTAATCCTTTCTTTCCTTAGATAAGTTTCTAATGTTTGAGTATCATTTATTTTGAAAATGTAAGGAGCAATTTTTTCACCTTGTTCCTTTTTTAGAATACTTCTGATAGTGCTATAATTCTTGGGTTCCATAGTAGATCTGATGTAAATTAACTTCATATTAACTATTTTTATATAGGAGTAATTCTATATATCACTTAATATTAAACAAATGGGAAATTTTAATGATCACATTACAAATTTTGATCCCTGAAATCCTTGGTAATACAAATGTTCACTTTGTCTGGTTTTGTTGCAGCATGCCCCATATATGTGGTCAACTATTTTTGTGTATATTATAATTTGTAACACCACAATGGACATGGAATGGGTTATGGAACATGGGATATGAGATGGGATCTGGGATGGGATTTTTACTAATATCAAAGCCCTGCCCACCCATATCCCATAGTATGGGTGGCAAGTAACCCCTTTTATTAACAAAATTTCAACATCAATCAATCATGACAGATTGCTTGACTAATAACTTTATTATAAAAAGTATATCTGGATATTCATTCAGATTAAGATTTTAAAATGATACCCGAATTGAAAATAATAGTAATAGTAATAGTAAGGATATCCGGATATTTTAAGAGGATATCAATATCTGTTCCAACAAAATTCTATCCAGATCCAAGCCCTAAGTCATGTATGTCATTTGACAATGATTTTCACTATCAATCAATTAAATTATTTTCTCAATTCCCTCATATTTAAAATCCATAATAAATATCAACAATAATAATGTCTGGGCTCTCTACATCTTTAGAAGATTCAAACTTAATCACTTTAGCTTTATCCCTACGACAAACTTTAGAACCTAGTACCAGAGCATATGGTAACCGATTTCCTTGCTAATTTTGATGAGTAGAAAAAAATTTTTATAGATCAGTTGTTAACTAAGCTTTCTTTTATATATTAGCCGAGAAACAATTAGAAGTAGAAGAACAACGACCAAACTTTTCAATCTCTCTTTTACAACTTGTCACAAATGATACTCTTGAAATAACTGTACGAACTGCCGCTGCATTACTTTTTAAAAACTATGTTAAAAGAAAATGGAACTGGGTATTTAAATTTTCCTAACATGTCTACTCATTAATATTTTTTTGTTATGGCATCACAATAATTTATGATATTGAATTCATTTAATGATAATTATTAGGAAGAAGAGTCTAAGATCCAGCCTGAAATAAGAAAAACCATAAAGGATACCATTATTGACATTTTAATTGCTGTTCCTACCACCCTTCAAACTCAACTCATTGAAAGTATAACTATCATTGCCGATTCTGATTTTCCTGATGACTGGGAAAATTTATTACCAGTAAGTTGACCTCTTATTAATATAATCCAATGTCAATTTATTTTTAAATTTAGTCTGACTTCACATCTTTTTAGAAATTGATTCATAACTTTAGTCAAGATGATTTTGTCCGTAATAATGCTATATTATTAACAGCTCATTCTATCTTCAAAAAGTAAGTTTACAAAATCAACATAATATATAATATATTATTAATTATTTCAAGATTACTAATTATAAATAATAAAAAAATTAAATGATCTAGATGGAAGCATCAATTTAAATCGGATCCTTTATACAAAGAGATAAATTATGTTTTGGATATATTTTGTGAACCATTTTTTCAACTTTTACAGGTATAAAAAATTAAAAATTTTCATAATATTTAAATTCAATACTAAAGATTATTAATAAATATAGGCAACTGATGCATATATTGAGCAAAACAACAACAATAAAGAAAATCTTCAATTGTTTTCCAACACATTATTACTACTATTAAAAGTTTTCTATGATCTCAATTGTCAAGATCTTCCTCCATTTTTTGAAGATAATTGGGAAGCATGTATGAATCTTTTTCATAAATACATAACTTATCAAAATCCATTATTGGAAACACAGGTGCTTTTTTAAATTATCACTATTAATTAAATTATTTAATTTGTGAGAAAAGAATAATAACTTAAATTTTTTTATTAGAGTGAGGAAGAAGCTGGCACGCTTGAGAAAATAAAATCTTCAGTTTGTGAAATTATTATATTGTACACAAATAAATATGAAGAAATATCTACAATGTTACCACAGTTTGTTAATACAATCTGGAACTTTTTAACTACAATAGGATTGGAACCTAAATATGATATTGTAATTATTTTATGTAGAATAAAATTTATTAATATTTTTTTTTAAAGAGAAAAATCTTCATTTATACTTTATTATATTATTATTTATTATTATTTTATTAGCTTGTGAGTAAAGCCATGACCTTTTTATCCACAGTTGCAAAACTAGAAAGATATCAAGTTATTTTCAAAAATCTTTTTAATAATGATGAGGCTATCAAACAGTTTTGTGAAAAAATTGTACTTCCAAATATGTACTTTAGAGGTGAATACATTTATTTAATATATGGAAAAGAAAACATTATTTATTAATTATAATAAATTTATATTTATACATATATCAATTTAAAATATAGTTGTTGACGAGGAGTTATTCGAATTTGATCCTATTGAATATATCAGAAGGGATTTGGAAGGATCAGGTACTGCGAAACTTTTTTTAAGAATCACTTGAAGAACTTTTTATTTACTTTCTATCTATCTTTTTATTAGATAGTGATACTCGTAGAAGGGCTGCAACAGACTTTGTGCGCAGCTTGATGTCACAGTATTTGCACAATATAACAAGAGTTATTGGAGTTTATATTGCAGAATTCCTAAAGGTATTATAATTTATACATATATAAAATTAATGGCAGCAAGGAATAAAAAAAAAACAAAATTTGGTTTTTTATCATTAGCGTTATAATGAAAATCAAAAAAATTGGAAAGACAAAGATGTAGCAATTTACCTTTTAACTTCGATTGCCACTCCTGGAACTACTACAAAAGTAAGTTATACTATTCAATTATCAGTTGAACTTAACGAAGCTTTATTGTTTGCAAAAGAGATAATCAGATTATTCAAATTAAATTACAAGTATGGTCTCACGGTAGTAAATGATTTAGTAGACGTTGTTGAATGGTTCTCTGCAAATGTCTTACCAGATCTACAAACTGTTGTTGATAGTGGGGAACCAGTTTTGAAGGTCGATGCAATTAAATACATATACACTTTCAGAAATCAGGTAATTCTTCTCTTTTGCTTTAAAATAGACATTATTATTGTTATTGTTATGCAAACTTATGATTAATGCTTTATTATTTTTTTATATAAATATATATGTAGATGAATAAATCACAACTAACTAGTGTTTTCCCATTATTAGTCAAACATGTTTCATCTTCCAATTATGTAGTTCATACTTATGCTGCAATAACTATTGATAAAATGTTAACAATGCGCAAAGATAATGCAATGTTGTATGTGTGCTTTTTTTTATTTGTTCAATTAATAATGTAAAATTACTGATACAACAACTTACAAAACCCATTAAAGATTTAGTAGGGCAGATATTAAGCCATATACTCAAGAACTTTTAATTAGTTTATTCAGATTAATCGAGTCAGGAACAACACCTCAAACATTAGCGGAAAATGATTATCTCATGAAAGGTATATCTATATTTTTAAAATTTTGTTGTAAATTTATTTCTTTTGTTAATAATGGAGGCTGATTTTTTATTTTAGCTGTAATGAGAGTTATTTTCACTAGTCGTGAGGATATTTTACCTTATGTTGGAGATATTATGAGTCACTTAATTGCTATTTTAGGACAAATTAGTAAAAATCCGAGTAATCCTCGTTTCAATTATTATGTTTTTGAATCAATTGGAGCATTGATTAGGTATATTAGTTTTTTTGATTAATAATTTCAATTTTTTGGTTAATCATATCAAAAATGTTTTATGCTTTTAGAAAAATTTTCAAAAATTGATATTTATTATTCAGCTAATTATACCCATCTAGATTTAATTGTCAAGGTAATACTGAACTAAGAAAAAATTTCGAGGATACTCTGAGTGGTCCATTCCAATACATTATGGATAAGGACGTATCTGGTATATTTTCAAGTTTTTGATTTTTTGTTTTAAATTAATAAGGTCATTAAACTTATTATTATTACTATTTGAATTTTAGAATTTATTCCATACGCTTTTCAAATCTTTTCACAACTTCTTGAATTACATAATGAACCTCAGATTCCTGATTTCTACAGAGATTTGTTGCCACAATTGTTGAATCATGTTGTTTGGGAATCTGCTGGTAATTAATATCAATATATAATTTTATATTAATAAATAATACTCGATTAAAAATAATTTTATTTTCTTTTAAAGGAAATATTCCTGGGCTAGTTAAATTATTACAAACATATCTTTATCGATATTCAAATATAATAATTTCAAACGGACAACTTGAGCCAATTTTAGGCATCTTTCATAAATTAATTGCAAATAAGAAACGTGATAAATATGGATTAGATTTATTAAGCTCAGTCATTCGAAACGTACCTACGTAAGTCCCTCTAATAACATTTTATGTTGATTGAAAATATATGAATTTTATTTTTACATTAATTTAACAAAAACAATGTTTTTTTAATAAATTATATTAGAGCTGCATTAAATCAATATATTGGTCCAATATTAACGCTTCTATTATCAAGATTTCAAAGTAGTAAAACTGATTCATACACTATGGGATTCGTTTATTTTGTATGTTATTTTCTTGCTGTAGATAAGGAAGGGATGAATCCAGATTATGTAATCCAAGCATTTGATTCACTTCAAAATCAGTATGGTTTTTTTCTGGACGTATTTCTTTTGTTGATTTCAATTAAACAAAGGATAATTTTTTCTTAATTAACTATATATTACTTTTTTTTGGCAGACTTTTTATACAAGTCTTGAATGCCTTCATCATTCCTCATTTACAAAAAGTTCAAGGTTACATGGAACGTAAAATTTGCGCAGTGGGGATGACACGTCTTATAACACAAAGTAATATAATGTTAACAGATAAATATTTTAATGAATGGTAATATTTATTTTAATTCACATTTTGTTCTTATTTATTTTAAAGAAATATCACTCTAAAATAATTCCTTATTCCTAATTTTATTTATATATATATATATATATAGGCCTTCTGTTTTAGTTGCACTAATTAAACTTTTTGAAGCACCAACTGAAATTGAGAATTACAATGAAGACAATTACTTTTTGACAATTGATTTTGAAGAAGATATGCAATTCCAAACCTCGTATTCCAAATTAGCAACTACCAATAAACCAAAGGATGATCCTACAGAATCAATCAAAGATCCAAAAATCTTTTTAGCTCAATCCATTAAAAATTTGAATGATTTACATCCTGAAATGGTATGTATCTTTTTATTATGTAAATTTATTATATGATTTGTTATTATTATTTACCATTATCACAAATACCTTAATTGATGTTAGATATCTGAAACTATACAAAAAAGAATACCACCTGAGTATACGCATTACCTTTTTCAATACATGACATACTAATTATATATACTATACAAATACTATTAATCTTATATACCATATTCCTATTTCTCCTAAGCTTAAAATAGCTAAATTAAATTTAGAAAATTTTTTTCAGAGTCACACTAAGGCGGGCAAATAAATTCATTCGGGTTTGTTTGTATTTGATATCTGAACTAAATTTGGCCAAAACTTTGTACATAGTGTGAGGAGGATACCTGTTTTTTATTAAATGATTGTAACTATAATTGCTGTCGAAATTCCTGAATTACAACAATTTGCTATTATAAGCTGTAAATAAATTTGACATGACACCCTGAAGTCATAAAAGGCATAAACCCTAAAACCACAAAGCTATAATAGTAATTATAGAAATATACTCATAACTAAAAAACTATCAAGTAATTTTGCTATATCATCATGCGCAGCACCTTTTGGCATGCCTCAAATGCCTAGCTATCTTGTGAATGTTTCCAGCAATAAATCAAAACTTTTCCGTAGCTTTTTCCTCTCTGCAAAAAGCTATCAAAAGGAAAGTGTGAATATGAAGACATTATTAGTTTGTTAGTAAATTGATTCAAAAAGTCTGGCTCATGCTTAGAACTATACATGCAGCCCAAATTGGTTTGGTAATTTCAATGGTCAAAATTATTCCAATTTTGATTAAGGTTTCTGGCCAAAACTCTCTTTATTAGTAGCCAAAATTGCCAAAACACTTTGGGCAAAAATAATTTTTTAAGCCCAAACTATTTTTTGTTATTAGCCGAAATTGGATGAAATTACTTTAAAGTTGCTTAAGTTAAAATAAGTTGATTGATATAGTTTTTTAATGTTCATGCTTATAAAAAATGCTGAGAAGCCCAAATTGCCCAAACTAGTTTGGGCTTTGAGAAAACAGTTTGGACCGGAAACCTTATTTAGGATCCAATAAAAGAAAGCCTAAAGATAAATCTCCACCAAGCAAAAAATCCAAAAAATCACCAGCAAAGAAAGAAAATAAAAATACCAGACCAAAAAGAAATTGTAATAAAAACATTTGAATTAAAAAAATAAATTTTATACATTATATCAAAATACACTTGTAATAAGTACATTTACTCCTTATATCAAGTACATTTACTCCTTGCATTAAATACATTTACTTCTTACATTGAGTACGTTTCTTTCTTAGATTGAGTAGTTTGTTGAGAATTTGAATCATGTATCGAAGGTTGTTGATTGTAAGAGTTGGAATTTGATTGTGTAGTGTTGGTATCGGTGGTGGTGGTGGTGGTGGTATTAGCAATATTATCGTTTTGCTGGAGTGAAGAAGACTTTTGCATCTTTTAAAATTTATTTTTATATCTTTTTTAAAAATATAACAGGGGTATGTAAAAAATTTTTTTTCTCTCTCAAGAATTATTTTTTTACAAAATAATAATGTTAATGGTTATTATTGATGACCCCTGAGAGTTTTTTTAATTAAAAAAAAATCTTTCCTCATATAGATAACAAGGGTTCAAAATGCGCAGACAACTTGCATTCTGGATTGGATGTATATATTGCCAAACAAAAATCTTTTTTTTCAAATCTTTTTTTGGTAAATTTTTCTGTGTTTCACGAAAACAATTATAAAATGGATCTAACTTTAGCTCTAGAAGAATTAATATCTTTAAACTTTCTGTTTTCAAAGGATGTTAAATTGCAAAAAAATAAGATTATTGACTTGCAGATCAACGAATTTATTTTCAAAGTAATGAAAATTTTCTATCTACCATTAAAGCTTTCTAATTAATATTTTATATCAAAAAGAACTCTCTATGTAAAGTTATGACTCAAATAAATATTTTCTTTCCAAATTTGCTGTAAATGTCTTGAAAATTGGCAAGTAGATGTAAAATAACTTAAGCTTTCATACTTTGTGGAGTGTGGTAGAAATAGGTTGATCACTTGACTTAATCAGGTGACTTTTTGACGCAATTAATCGAGTCCTATAAAAAACATAAATGGGGTTTGTACTAGGAAAATCAAAGCTTCGAGGTCCCAAAACCAAAATTGTTAATAAAATCTTGTACAATTGGGTTTTCTTTTTTATATTAAAATTTCCTTTAGACAAATTTAGAAATGATCATCGTTTTGCGCACACCTCAATTAAAGAAAAAAAATTTATTATTTTTATAGATATGGATTCGGATTTGAACAATAAATATCCTTATGTGGTTCATCAACATGTTGATGAATTTTTGAATATAAATATATTTTTCTTTCTTCTAATGGATTAAAAATTTTTTTTAAAAGAGAAAACAATACCCTATAAAAAATTTGGCACAGAAAATGTATTAGTATGGAAAGCTGTACAGAATTTGTACATTTTTGTATGGAAAAGTATAGGAAAACAGCATAGTGGAATTTTATAATTATCACAAATGTGACTTAAAATGTCAATCTTTTTTATATTGTGTAATGGCAATTTTAAAGTACTTTTCAATTGGATGTTTGACCTTAATGTGATGTATAAACTTTTTATCAAAATTGTCAAACCAACTTTATAGCCATATTCTTCATTTTTTTTTATATTACCAACTTCCTTCCATCATTTTCCATCACTTTCTTGGAGAAGTTAGCTAAGAATCAAAGTTTATAAGAAAGTAATAGTTAAAGAATATATAATACTGATATACATTAATTTTGGTGGCTCTTAACCCATTATAATGAGTATTTGTTTTTTATCATATTATTCAGCAAGGTATTTGTTTCATTAATATTGATATTAATATTAAAATATTTATTGTTTTTATTATTTTTGAAATCAATACATT